TGGTTTCAATCAATTTATATATGTACCAATTTTACATTTGGGGAATACATAAGAGCATCCAGAGGGTGACACCAATCAATTTATATATGTACCAATTTTACATTTGGGGAATACATAAGAGCATCCAGAGGGTGACACCAATCAATTTATATATGTACCAATTTTACATTTGGGGAATACATAAGAGCATCCAGAGGGTGACACCAATCAATTTATATATGTACCAATTTTACATTTGGGGAATACATAAGGGGCCTCCAGAGGGTAACACCAAAGGACCAAACCTGAATGTTGACTCTACCCATGCTATTCCCCAGGTGCCCTCAACAAAGTTTAGTAGAGATCAGTAGTATCATATGAGAAACAGAGATTCCCTCAGTGGGGCATAAGGGGATATCTGAAACCCCTATATCACACGCCAAATTTGGTTGAAATCAGTCAAAAACTCTAACCATGTAAGGTACACACACAGACATACAATGACCCCTAGGAACTGAATGATATGTGGGTTCAGTTTGTTTGTTTGAATTTTGCGCAAAGCTACGTGAGGGCTATCTGTGCTAGCCGTCCCTAATTTAGCAGTGTAAGACTAGAGGGAAGGCAGCTAGTCATCACCACCCACCACCAACTCTTGGGCTACTATTTTACCAACGAATAGTGGGAATGACGTCACATTATAATGCCCCGCGGCTAAAAGGGCGAGCATGTTTGGTGTGACGGAGATTCGAACCCGCAACGCTCAGATTGGGAGTCGAGCGCCCTAACCACCTGGCCATGCTGGGCAATGTGGGTTCAGCTCTGAATGCCAATGTTTATATGACACTCTCTGTGGGGTCCCGGCATGAAAAGTGAACTCAGATGAAATTTCTGCTTTATATATGTAGATTTGTAAATTATTATAAATTATGCATCTTTTACATCTTATAGAGTTTAATCTTACTCATTAACACATACTGTACCTAAATTAATTACAACCAACATCTGTAAACTATGAAAAAGTCTGAAAATAATTTTACAATTTTTAGCTTGGGGAAATATTTTACTTTATTCAAATTCAATATACAGATATGCAACACCTGTCACTTTTGTTTCTCAAACCTTACAAGAAACGGAGAGATGTAGTTTACTTACATTCATGTTGGCATTCAGCTCAGCAACGTTTTCATCATCTGTTGGAAACTGGTAAATCTGGATTCCATTGGCTACCAGCTCACTCATGACCTGTGTAAGCAGAATAGTTCTAAATAACACTCACAAGCAGACATTTCGCCAAACAATTTTTAAACAGTTTCACATAAATCAGCCACTGGAACACTGGCTAAATGAGAGGTAAATCTCTTTCATGGTTTATGGTTATGTCAACTTATACAACTTGTTTTATGAGTTTAATGATGAGATATGCTTTTAAAAACTTTTAACGTTATCTTCATACCTGCATATGCAACATTGATATCACAGCCTTTTCTCTTAATTTTAGCTAATCAGAATCATTTTAAACTATGACACTACATAATTAGTACCACTTTACCTTTGTAATCTGATTATTAAAGGTAATACAAACTTCAAACTATGACACAACATAATCAGTACCACTCTACCTTTGTAATCTGATTATTAAATGTAATACAAACTTCAAACTACGACACAACATAATCAGTACCACTCTACCTTTGTAATCTGATTATTAAATGAAAGTGGTACTGATTATTTAGTGTCATCGTTTGAAGTTTGTATTACCTTTAATAATCAGATTACAAAGGTAGAGTGGTACTGATTATGTTGTGTCGTAGTTTGAAGTTTGTATTACATTTAATAATTTCAGTACCACT